AATCAACGGATAGCGAGAATTCAATACGGATTTGGCTCTGGCCATTTGAGGATGGGCAAACGGGTTCTTGGGCTTGGTTTGGATGGTTCGCATTGGATGCCACTCCGGGTCGGAGTCGATTTGGTTCGACTTGACTGGGTCTCTTTGCGCAATGCAAAGCACATCGAAGAGCTGCTAATTAATCTTAAGCATTGCAAATTTTCGGCTGGAAATACCAGGCATATGAATACACACTTTGCGGGCAAATGAATAAATACGGATTCGTTGTGTGTATCTCGCGGTGCGAATGCGACGCATAAATAAGTTTTATCACCCATCAAGGTAAGCGGCTCTCCGCGGCTCAAAAGTGGCTCAAAAGTGGCCCAAAAAACGGGTTCCCTGCGCTCAGGTGTGTAAGATTGTAACCCGAGCAAACTTTTACTTTTTCGCGCCGAGGTAAGTGAACTAGTTGCAAAGTGGGCGATTTGCATAAATTGCAAGCGAGCGCCGCACAGTGGGTCAAAGCAGCCTGGAAATGGGAATGGAAAAGGATGCTTTCAAAATTAATTATATTTCATATGGTAAATTGCTGAATCGACATTTTAAGATAAGTAAATAATTGTCAGACCGCTTATAACTGTCATCAGTTTTGAATGCTCATGTTTGTTTTTCGCTCATAACCTTTTTATAGCCCCTGGCGAGCTTTCTTGCTTTCTTGCTTTCTCGTCGCTTAATAACTCATTTAAAATTTATCAATTTAAAAGTATGCATAGCCGAAACTCATTAGCTAATCCTGTTTGTAGGCAGCTCAAATTCATAAATATAGAGTAACGTGCCTGCTGGAGTAACCGGTTTCATTCGGCGTAGAAACGAAGCTATAATTTATTTTAAACCGTTGACATATGTACAAGTATACCCTAAAACAGAATATTCCTAATGCTTTGATTTAAATTTGCAGCTGGAATTTATTGGCCACTGATTTCGTTTAGTCTCTATTCAGCGGCTCCCCCATTTGCATTCGATTCCTCAACTTTGCCAGCGATTCGTTCCACTGTGCGCCAACTTGACGCCCAACTAGTCGTATACTTAATTCTCGAATTTGCTTCCTTGTTCTGGGCCCTCTTTTGATTCATTGGACCGCGTAGGAGGCTGAGCACTGGTCATTCGGTGACGTCAATGGTGCGGCAAGGTGAAGCCATCAGCTTCCAGGTGAGTGATAAGTTGGCAGGTGATCAGTAGAAGCGGTTCGCGAAAAGTTCAAACACACAATAATTGCATAATGATGAGGAGGGCAATTTAAGTGCGGATCGCAGCTGATGAGTTTTCGAATGGAAAATGGAAATGGAAATTGAAACTGAAACTGAAAGTCAAAGGCAAACAGTTCGTTTTCGATATGCTGAAGACCGGCGATTGAAGACGAAGACGAACTAAAAAGAAAGTCCGTTGTTTGCTGCAGGCCTTCGATGCTCTTGGCTGCCATAAATTAAACGCTCCCCGCGGATCGAAGCTGAAGATACATATACTCGTATGTATCTACATGCGAGTCCGGCGGAAAGGAGATCCGGCGATTCGGAGGGGCAAGGGCGGAGTGGAGTTATGCAACGCAGCTCGTGTCTTCGTTTTTTATGGTTATGCATTTCTTTCACAGTTTACAGGCTCATCTTCCACTTCCACTTCGACTTCGGTTTATTGCCTTGGCCACCATTTCCTTCATTAACGATTCCGCTATGCCAGCTTTTTACAAAGAAACCAATTTCTCTTTTCCCTCCAAAAACCATATTTCTCTGCCTTGATTGGTTTTTGATATTCTGCTTTCCCAGAACTGCTTCTTTTCGCTTGGAAAAGGTAGGCCAAATTAAAATATTTATTGAAATTGGATACCCATATGTTGTCTAGACCAAAGGCGAAAAGAAAGTACATTCTGTCAACTGACAGAAATGTAATATAAATATTCATAAACTCAGAAGCTGTTGCCTTTCTTTTATATTTAATTCAAGATATCATTAGAGCCATTTGATCAATATACACTCTGTAGTACATAAAAGTATGCTCAAAAATATCCTTACCATTATAAAGAGATGTAAATCATCGAAAGTGACAGTATTTTAATCTTTTCAGAAGGAATGCTCTTTTTGATTTGCTCTAGAAGTTAGTCAGGTATTTGGGTGCTCAATCGCTCTATGCTAAACTAAAGCCACCCAAATACTAAATGTATCTTGAATCATTGAAAATCTCTGGTGACTGGTAGACTTGAACGAAAACTGAATCCAGCGCCTCTTTATTTATGTGGAACCACGGATTTAAATAAATTATGCAGTTGCTTAGAATCACCAACGCCAAAGCTGATCATCTTCATATTTATGAGAATCAATAGCGGAGACAAATGGGTCCACCGAATCCATTTCGTATGCAAAATAATTCGTGTGAGCTGTCGAAGGACTATGGAAAAGCCCATGGGCGTAGCTAACTGGGCCCGTTGGCTGTTGGCTCTTTTTAGCCAAAGTGTGTCACTCACTCCGATCTCCAATCTCCAATCTCGAAGCGACGACCTTTCCAGCTGCGAAAAAGGCTAAGACGCTTTCAAATTTAAATCAAATCAATGGCAATAAGAGAATAACAGTCGCAAGCAACTAAAAGCAATCGAAAAATCGAGGGCAACTAAATTATGTAAATCCGTAAGCCCGTGGAAAAAAATAAGATGATAAAATAAACCGATTTTCACTCTTCATCTGCTCATCTGGTCATCTGCTCATCGGCTTGGGGTGCCATCGTATCATCAACATTTTCACTCTAATTGAAAAACCAGTTTTAACAGTTGATTAAACGGCAAGAAGCGGAGTAATAATAATAATCAGTGCTTTTTGGTGGCTTTCGGTGAGATGCTTCACCAGTTGAGGGATTATATCACCGCATCACCAGCGCGGCTCTGCAATTAATTGTAACTAAGAAATGCTGCAATCCGCATTTCGCGCCGAAGAAGGTGAACCGCTTTTTGCGGCATCTTCGTGCCAATTGGCAACCTTCACTCCGCCGGCAGCCGGAGAGTTGCACCCAAATTGGCCAATCGCAATTAAAAATATACAATTGTGATCTGCGGCGATTCCGAGAATTTTCCACTGCACACTGGCACTCCCGCTGCAGAAACAAAAAAAAATAGTTAAAAAGAAACCAGAAAACACGCATACGCCATGTTGGCCTTTCTGCATGCTCAGTTGACTTATGTACAGAGTGCTCTTTAGCGAAGTGACAGAACTCGTTTTCAAGTTCAGGAAATAACTATGCAATGTGCTGGAAATACTCGAATAAATTGCATTAGCACGCCACCAGTCGATTCCTCCAGATCGGACACGAATAAAACCTAATTGACATTGCTCTGCGGTTTCTATCTGCCCGCTGGCCATTCTGTCGCTCCGCTGATCTGTGGTCCAGTGAGGCAGACTCGAGAACTCGAGAAAAAAGCAAAAGTGGTAATATCGCAGAAATACTTGACGTGCCAGCTATGATACTCATGATCGATGGCTCTTGGAAAATGTCGTGTGAAGGCTGCCAATAACATTTGCAAGTTGTTGAAACTTATTTTGAGCTCTTTGTTAGTTGTTAGAATAATATATATCCCCTTTTCCAGCCAAGCGCATTTGGTTCTAGCATGGAACTTAACACATTTCAAGCAAAATCTTTGGAGTGTTGGGGATTCAAGGAGTTGAGCATCTCAAAAGAAGATTAATAGTTTACTGCATACTTCGAGTTCAGATGCTTTAAACTGTTGTAAAAAGCAACATTCCATTTTGTAAGCCCACATTTGCCTTTCCGTTTGTTCGATTCCGTTACAAAGTGATCGCAGATTTGTGCATACCCAACGTCCGCCGCAGAGTCCGCAACTTGTCCCCAACAATTTCATATCCGCAAACATGCTCCGTTTTGTTGCTGCTTTGGTTTTCGTATTTTTGCCGCTCTTACGGGTTTTGGCAGCCACTGTGGATGGCTTATTGAATAACAGGCAGCAGTGGTTCAGCTGCTAGGTTGGCTGGTATGTGGCCCTTAAGCGCCTGCAGCTCCTCCATCTGCTTTACATAACAGCGACTGGGGAGTGCAGAAAACAAAAGCAAACACGAAAATGAAAATAAATAAAGAAGGGATAACAAAACAGTTAACAACGGCATCCACTCGGCCTGGCATAATTAGGCAACTCAAGATCTTCGGCAGGGCGTGCATTCAGCTTAATCCCTGTGACTCAGCGACACTCGCAATAAGCCCTCTTCTCTGGAACCGTCGAGCACTCGACCGCTCGAGTCGGCGGAGGTTTAATAACCTTTGGCGTCTTAGCCACGTTAACAAGAATTTCATGCGGCAGCTGCGATTGGCATACCAATAATCGCTGCACAGGCACTGGGAAGCTTCCAGAGGCAACCGCACCCCCTGTTTGGTATGCACCAGGTGACCCGAAGCTCGAAGCTCCGGCCCATTGGGATTCTCGGCTCGTTTGGGTGAAAATAACAATCAACCGGGCAGTAAACGTGCTGTAGAAAACGGTTTAGAAAGAAAAGAAAGAAATAAGAAACAGTTACGAAATCGAGATTTTCGAGAATAGTTTATGCTTTTGATAGAATCCAAAGATTGCAGATGCTCGAACAGAAGACTGGCAAATTCAGGGTCAGTGGCAGAAAAGATTGATGGGCCCGCTGGTTTGATTTATGTCTAAGCGGATGACTAACTGGCGGAGTAAACAAGCCCATGGGGCGCAGTCGTCTGATCGAAAAAAATCAAATCCCCCGCACAATCGCTCGTAAAATACGGACCGATTCCGCTCCCACCTGCGCCTATAAATGCTAATTAACCTTTCTTCACAGAAGAAACCGAAGAACCGGAGAGACGCCCGCGTACCTTGGCATTTCGGAATGGGATCCACAAGTCTCCCCTCGAAAGCTCTTGCGCCGGCGCAGCGGCCGTGGTGAGTTGGCCCGAGGGTGAGTTGCCCGCTTTCCACCATGGACGCCAAGACACCTCGGCTTGATAAATAGAACTCGTTGCTGGTGGCCAACACCTAGTGTAAGCGTGGCTGTGTATTGGAAGAGTGCCTCCGTTCACTCCACTTCCATTCGATCCAAGCATTCCCACTCAGAGTCTGGGCAAAAGTCAGTTGAGTTTTCCAAAGTTTCACTATTCACTATGCACTATATGATACCTCGTACTTGTGCCCATCGCTATTTGTAATCGCTAATTGTGTTGCTAACTAGTGTTGCTAACCCTTCTACGAATTTCGCCCGCAGAGAGCTCTGGAACCTATCATGGCGCGTTGGTGGCCAATTTTGAGCGTTGTGTGCCTCTGCCTGGCTGTTGGTGAGTACTCCAATCGATTACCCTAGTACGTACCCATTAGTAGTGCCTAGACTTAAGCTGTTGACCTCTGGCGGTGGAAACTTTGCCACTTTTCGCAAGGTTGCCGAAGAAAACATACTCGTACAATGCTGGCAGAAAGAAACCTCGATCGTTGACCAAGGCGAATAAACTTGAAAAAGTGCGGTGATGTGGGCTCAAAAGACATCACAATTGATCGAAGTCATTAGCGGCATGCAATCGATCAAACTTATCCTTCACTCGGTGATGTAAGAGTGGTCGGAAAAAGAGGAAAAGACGAACCACAGTAAAAAAATAAAAAAAACTGTGGCAAGAGGACGAAACTCCGGTTGGCCATAAAACCGAAATTAGCATTGGAAAACGAACAAAACCAGACGACTGCCATCGGTTCCGTTTCAATATACTTGTATACTGGTATATGTATGTATTTTTGGACTCGCCAGCGTTGTTTATGCAATATCATTTTAATGTTAAACCGAAAACGGGTTTCCAATAACCACAAAATCAACAACAACAGCATTGGCCAACACTCAACCCGTTTGAAAAGACACCTTACATGACCAAGCGGTACCATAAGATACCGCATTCGTATGCGATCCGTGATACAATCCGCCAGCATTCCCCAGATCATCCCAGAAATGTGGACCTGTGCCCATAAATGGGATATGCCGCTTTCGTTTACCCTTTCGATTTCAGCCGAAACGAGATGGAGACGGAGACAAGCTGTAATGAACAAAACTGAGAGTTGTTTTGGTCGGCTAGAAGTGGTACTCGTATTTCCACACACTAATGGCCAAAAACCGGTTGAAAGTCGTTCGTGTTGGGAGTAAGCTAACCGTTAACCCATGAGGTGCGGCCAATTATACTGGTTAAAGACGCCGATTAACTGATAGAACGGCTGTGATTAATGGCACCCGTCAAGATAAAGTTGCCAATGAGAAGTGTACCAATGCAACAATTAGAATGTCGGCAAATTATTATCAAGCGGACTTGGGAAAGAACTAGATTGATTTGCAACACTGTTACGTACTATTTTATATACTTATTCAACACTATTTTTATTAAGCTTAAATAGGTTAACGAGTACTTATATTAAATGAAGTGTCTCTAGTGCTTTCTCTTCTGCTTCAAACACCAAACCTTTTCTTAATTCTTATAAAACTCATAGCAATTCCTCTAGAAAATATTTCGCCTTCTTCTTGACTTTCCTAGGACTATATGTCCCCTATTCTATTCCTTTCTAATTCAAAACAAAAATAAAATAGATTGTCTTAAGCAGTGCTCGCCGTAATTAACCAATATATTTCTTGGCACGATAATATGTAAACATTTTTATTCAACCAGATGGCTTGTATGTAAAAAATTCATTTGAACCCGCCATAGATCAGGACCCTTCCAGGAGATACCAAAGAAAACGTAACTATGAGAATGGAGGCACCGAGTGTTATAAATTGAATACTGCATTATTTACTTTTTCGCAAACTTTGGTATTGACTTCCGGAGACCAAGTACACTGGTCTACCAAGTTGATGGTTCAAAATGTGGGGAATGTTCTAGAAAAATCCAAATGAAGTTCTATCAGAAAGCGCCAACTTGAACATTGCTCCGATCAAACATCCAATTCCTGTTTATTCCCATCGAAGTAGATACATTTTGCCTTAAAACACCTTGCCCCCTAAGGCACTAAGATATTTCAGAAGCACTAAAGTCCAGACACTAGCAACACGTTGGTGTGGCTAGAAACTAAAGAAATGCACTTAATCAATGTAGTCAAGTAACCCAAGTGGCCGCCAACGATCTCTGTACTCACATGCCGACCTTTCCCGATCTTTCCCATCCCAACAGCACATGGCCAGGACAAGCTGGAGGGCGTTGATGTGGAGGAGGTGTGCGCCGACCGTCCAGCGGATGAGTACTTCCGCCTGGAGACCGACGGCGACTGCCGCGAGGTGTACAGGTAAGTCCAATTGCGGCCTCATGTGGCCTTGGTTTGTCCGATCGCTCAGCTGAGCAGGCTGATGGCCGATGCCCTGACCAAGCACTACTCCTACAACCAATTCTTGCCACTTCTTGTATCGCCACCGAAGGTGCGACAGTGCCGGCGAAGATGGCACTTGGCGTTTGGCGCCGATTCGCTGTGCCGGCGGCCTGGCATTCGATGTTCTGCGCCAACTTTGCGATTGGAAGTCGAATGTGAAGTCCTGCGATGTGCTCGAGAGTAAGTGACGCCACCCAGATCAAACCGATCAACCAGATCAACCAGATCACCCAGACCACCCAGATCACCCAATCCGCTGCGGATGTCTAAAGCTCAAGATACTTCCCGAGAGCCCAGATCCCCCGCCCACTATCAACCACCCTCCTCTATCGCTGTGTCTCGCTGTCTATCTGTCTCTCACCCCTGTGTGTGTCTGTCTCTATCTCTCTGTGTGTGTCACTAAAACCGGGAATCGATCCCCGAATCGATCGAGTCATTGCATAAACACCTGAATCCACCTCCGAATCGGTGCCAAAGTTCTCTAGCTAGCAACGCCAATACGAAATCAGAACATGAACTTTATTTTGTAGATGTACCAAGTCGGGTTTGAAAGAAATTCAGTGTCCTTCGGGTCTGGCCTTCGATGTGATCAAGCAGACCTGCGACTGGAAGGCCAAGGTGACCAATTGCGACGAGAAAGAGAGTAAGTGTGACGACCAACTAGCCAGACCAACCAGTCCAGCCAAACTTCCAACTTCAAACTTCAAACAAACAACCAAGCCAGCAAATAAACAAACCAACATAAGCCAATTTACATGTAGCCAGCAATGTTAGACTTCCGGAACTTTGGTAGATCCACGAACGAAACAAGCCCTAACCCAGCTCGAAACTAACCGCCACCGTACTAAACCCCATCACACTCACGTAAATACTTCTCATTTCAAAATTTAGACCTTTGTTGTCACTAACACGCCTCCACCAACCGCCCAAAAGTTCAAAAAGTGCCAAAGTGCCAAAAGTAGCGCCCCAGTAACTGAGTGTCCATTCCACAGAGCCCCGCAAGGCCAAGCCCATCCTGAAGACGGACGAGCCCATCTGCCCGGAGGGCAAGCTGTCCTGCGGCGACGGCGAGTGCCTGGACAAGGAGCTCTTCTGCAACGGCAAGTCCGACTGCAAGGACGAGTCCGATGAGAACGCCTGCTGTAAGTGGATCCCAGCACCCGTGGTGCAGTAATTCCCCAGTGCGATTCAGGCTTTAATGCCCAATACCCCCATCTCCCATCTCCCATTTCCAGCTGTCGATGAGGATCCCAACCGCGCGCCCGAATGCGATCCGACGCAGTGCGCCCTGCCCGACTGCTTCTGCTCGGCGGACGGAACCCGCATCCCCGGCGGCATTGAGCCGCAGCAGGTGCCCCAGATGATTACGATCACCTTCAACGGCGCCGTCAACGTGGACAACATCGACCTGTACGAGGACATCTTCAACGGACAGCGCCAGAACCCCAACGGCTGCTCCATCAAGGGCACCTTCTTCGTGTCCCACAAGTACACCAACTACTCGGCGGTGCAGGACCTCCACCGTCGCGGCCACGAGATCTCCGTGTTCTCGCTGACGCACAAGGATGACCCCAACTACTGGACGGGCGGCAGCTACGACGACTGGCTGGCCGAGATGGCCGGCTCCCGACTGATCGTGGAGCGCTTCGCCAACATCACCGACGGCTCCATCATCGGCATGCGGGCGCCCTACCTCCGCGTGGGCGGCAACAAGCAGTTCGAGATGATGGCCGACCAGTTCTTCGTGTACGACGCCTCCATCACCGCCTCCCTGGGCCGCGTGCCCATCTGGCCATACACCCTGTACTTCCGCATGCCGCACAAGTGCAACGGCAACGCCCACAACTGCCCATCGAGGAGCCACCCCGTGTGGGAGATGGTGATGAACGAGCTGGATCGTCGTGACGACCCCACCTTCGACGAGTCCCTGCCCGGTTGCCACATGGTGGACTCGTGCTCCAACGTGGCCAGCGGCGACCAGTTCGCCCGCCTGCTGCGCCACAACTTCAACCGCCACTACAACAGCAACCGTGCTCCACTTGGACTCCACTTCCACGCCTCGTGGCTCAAGTCGAAGAAGGAGTACCGCGACGAGCTCATCAAGTTCATCGAGGAGATGCTCGGCCGCAACGACGTGTTCTTTGTGACCAACCTGCAGGTGATCCAGTGGATGCAGAACCCCACCGAGCTGAACTCGCTGCGCGACTTCCAGGAGTGGAAGGAGAAGTGCGACGTCAAGGGCCAGCCCTACTGCTCCCTGCCGAACGCGTGTCCCCTGACCACCAGGGAGCTGCCCGGCGAGACGCTGCGCCTCTTCACCTGCATGGAGTGCCCCAACAACTACCCCTGGATCCTGGATCCCACCGGCGATGGCTTCTCCGTCTAAGACCGTCGTCGCTGTCTCTGTGCTTCCACCTTCCCAAACAGGAGAACAACTCACAGTAGTTCCACCGAGAGTCTGATAAACTAAACAAGCTGTACCAGCTCATCTATGCTGATCCATCTACAGAATACTCAAATCGTTGCATCCTGCTTCTTGTGTGATCCTAGCCCACTTCCTCTCCGTTATTTATGTGAATTTCACTTTCCCTCTGACAGCTCTGCTCTCCTATCTTCTATCTTATCTGTATCTTCTATCTCATCTGTATCTTCTATCTTATTCTGTATCTGTATCTTTCACCTCTGTGCTTTATCTCTCTGTTGATTTCAAAAGTGATTTGTTTTAATTTACCTAGCTGCCTCTTTGACCAGCTCAAAGACAATTTCCACAAACAAACAAAACCAAGCGCCAAAAATCGCAGCAGCAAAAATATCTTCGTAATTGTATAAGTATTTTTTATAAGAAAAATATAAAAAATATATAAAAAAAATGAACTTCGAATGCAGTTTCAATGATAATGATAAATCATGGTGCTTGGTTGTACTACGTCACACATTTTATTATCGCGCATCCAATTGGCACTTGCTCATTTTTGTAGGCTACTTTCTCTAGGTAATCAAGTATTTAATTGTTATAAATATATTCATACGCACGTCTTGCTTGCGAATAGGCATTTTAAGGGCAAGCTATAGATTAAACCAAAAAAATCGAACTAAATTCTGTAATAATATTGAAGTCCGCTCTGAGAAACTTCCTTGCAACAAGCAGGCGAACCATGCATATTGCGTATACGTTATTCGCAAACAAATCGCGCGCATAAACGTTGCCTTCGCTTTTGGACGAGTCTGCAGCCAGATCAGATCCGATTAGAGCCACAGACGCACCTGCTGATCCCAACTGGTGGACGCCAGGCACATGCCATTGGGGCACAGGCTGATGCAAGTGATGCGGTTCTCGTGACCAGAGAGTGTACCTGTGGAGGAGTGCAAAGTGGAAGGTGGAGAAGAAGGTCAGCAAATCGATGTAAGTCAAGTGCCAGCCTGAGCATTAGCTGCTCCCCCAGCCCCTCCCGTTCACCACCCGTATCAACGAATCCCCCAAGTGCAATGGACACCCAATACCCACCCGTGTGCCGCTGCTTCATCGTGTCCCACGAGTGCACGTTGCCCTCAATGCCGCCGCACATGAGGTAGCGCCCGCTGGTCGATAGAGCTGTAGAGATGGAGGGGACACAAAATCAGATTAAAGCCCGTCAAAAGTCAAGGCGACCGTGTTCCACTAAGATGGAGAACGGAACCCACCGCACGACGTGAAGCCAGTGTTCTTCTGGGGCGGCTCATACTGGGCGATTTGCTGGTCCGCCCGCAGGTCGTACATGCGCGCCGTCTGGTCCTCCGAGCAGGAGGCGAATCCGAAGCCACTGGGATGGTACTGGAATCGAGCACATACAAAATGGGAATTGATTATGCTATATCATACTATATACTCACGCAGACGGATGACACGTCCATGTCGTGGCCGAAGAACATCTGCTTGTGGCCCTCCTCGCGCACATCCCACAACTTGGCAGTCTTGTCCACTGAGCCAGTGATGTAGGTCTTCATGTCGGGCGAAAGCGAGAGGCCAGCAATGTCGCCAGCGTGTCCATTGAAGTCCATTGTCTTGACGCCCTTCTCCAGATCCCAATGGCAGCTGTTGGTCATAAGAAACATTGAGTTTACTGCGAAGAGGTTAGCAATTGCAAATAGCCCACATTTTCATATCTCCCGAGCCGGTGATCAGGTGGCCGTCGTCTAGGAAGCGGCAGGAGCTGAGGAATCCCTCGTAGCCCATCAGCTCCTTGACCATCTTGGCCACACCGGAGGCGTCCCGGTTGTTCACATCGTACACGGTGCACTGGTTGTCCATTCCTCCGCAGGCCACGAAGTTGCCCGACGGCGAGAAGGCCACCGTCATCACCCAGGCGGATCTCAGGGGGATGATCTGCACCTTATTGGCGGTCCAGGTGTCCCAGATGATCAGCTTGCCATCCAGAGATCCCGTGACGCAGTGCCGCGAGTCCCCGGCAAAGTGCACCGAGTTCACCTTGTTGATGTGGCCCTTGAGAATCTTCTTGGATGAGAATCGAATCTTGGTCACGTCGCCCATGTCGCCGCATTTGTCGGCCAACGTGCAGTCAGCCTTGCTTTTTTGGTCATCCTGAAAGCAGAGCACTCCATTTTAATTTATGAATCACACGTTTTTTTCATGATTGACTCCAGACTTTGGTGGACAATCAGTTCCAACTTTAAACGAAGGGAAGACAGGCAATAAGTAAAATTGCTTCTGTTCATCAAAGTATTCTTCTGTTCATTAGTATTTAATGACATAATTTAATGAATTTAATTCAAAAATTTCCAGAATTTAAGTTTGAGATGTACCAAGTGGGTCGCCAAAGTTGGAAAATAGTTGCTTAATACAATTTCGGGCTTAAATATCTGGCAAGATTAGCATTTTTCGAGATAATTTCTAAAATATATATACACTTATATTTTGTAATCTGCATAAATGAGTATGGTAAAATAAGCTTAGAGACAACATTTTTGTATGAGGATTCCTATTTTTCGAATTTAATATTTAAGAATTTTTACATTTTTGTTATTTTATTTCGGTGACAATAATTAATTCATTCATACGTCCTTATTTGTGTAAAATTGGAAGCAGGTTTTGAAGGTTATTGCCGTAATAATTGTGCGACATTTTCAAATGTGATTACGCCACTAGTCGCTGAGTATACATTTTATTCACCTTAAACTTCTGTATCATGCCATTGATTTCGTCGTACAGTTTTTGTGTTTCTGGATCAATTTTCGGCATTATTGAGCATTAATTATATAAGGACGGCTGCAATATTTGCAAGAAGAAAGCTTCTAGTTTTAAACCGCACCGCGTCGCACAATAAACTGAGTGTTAAACAATTTGTTTCGCCTGAATGTTATGATGTTTTCTGTTTTCCGTAGTGGTAATGCAATTAGCTAATTGGATTAGCCGTTAAATACAAATATATACGAAGACATTTTTGGCGCCAAATTTCAAAATTAAACATATGTGCGGGCTGCCAACCTATTAAAATAGACTGCGTCTTTTGCAACACTACTCTGCTCAGGGTGACCAGCTCGCTGACCATCAGGTGCTGCCTTCAATGTAAAAAAGGTGTTTGTATGGCCGAGGCGCATCTGGTCCCTCTAATTACACAACTCTCCAGGATCAGCTGTTTGGTCACCTCATTTTTGTTTTCCCTGCTTTTATTTATAACAATTGCCCATATTAACACATCGCCAGCATGGACGCCAAGTAGGGAGAGCCATGGAGACGCTGCCATGTGCCAACCAGCTGCAGGAGCACCAGCAGCCGCAGCAGCAGCACGTGAATCTCAGCATCGACCCGAGTCTGGGTGAGAATGTGGTCAGCATTCCCAAGGAGCTGATCCTCATCTCGCTGGTCTCCCAGGAGCAGTCGCTCTACAATCCCAAGCACCCCAACTACCGCAGCACCAAGACCAAGGACGAGAAATGGCTGGAGATTGGCAGCAATGTGGGTTGGTCAGGTGAGTGGACGCCTAAGTTTCCCCTCCAAAAAAACGCCACTTAATCCCGTTTGCACAGACGCCCAGTGCAAGTCCAAGTGGAAGGCCATGAGGGATCAGTACTGCCGGGAGTTGAAGCGCGCCAAGGCCTGCGCCAAGGCGGTAAAGTGGAAGTATTTCAAGGAGCTGGACTTCCTGCGTCCATATGCGCTGGCAAGAAAGTAAGTAGTCTGTGAGGCAACTAGAACTGGAAGCTCCATTGCTTACTATACAAAATATGGGAGTTTCACTAGTTCCGAGCTTCAGGTTTCTAGACAATGTTATCTGTACTGGATTGATATGTGCGTACTTAACTAAACCCATTATTCTTCAGTTACAGAGGGAAGTCAGGTCAGACTGCGAACGGCGTCGTGGGCACGGTGACCCCCCTAACGTTGCCCATGACTACTTCCTTTAGCAGCAACAGCAGCAGCCAGAACCTCAACCTCTCCGGCAGCATTAAAATTGAGGATGCCAGTGCATCCACGCTGCTCGACAGCTGTAGTTTTAGCCCAGCTAGTTCAGCCGATAAGAAGCCGGCGGCCACTTTCTTGGCCAGCCATATTGGAGCCGTGTTGCAGCAGCAGCAGCAGCAACAACAAATGCACTCGCAGTCGGAATCCAACTGGAACTATCTGACGGATGCGGGAGGCGGTGCTACTCCATCAATCATAGTGCAGTGTGGAACCGCCAACACAAGCACGGTGGTGGACACTCTTTACAACCAAATAGTCGACTGCGTCAATGCCGTCAATCAGTCGAGCTCAGCAGCAACAATAACTTCTACTGTATCCACCACTTCAGCAGCGCACAATCAATCGACGAACGCCGAGGAGGAGGACGACGACCCCATTCACACATTTCTCAACATGGAGAGCTACTTCGAAAAGGAACTGATCGCGCTGATCCAGCAGGAGGACATGATCTACAACTACGGCAACGAAAACTATCGCAATGCCAAGCTCAAGATGGAGGTGTGGGAGGAGATCGCCAGAAAACTTAAGAAGTCGGGTATGTGGCTGATAAACTCATGATTTCCAAACATGATTTTCCAAACATTACCCATTTTAGTGAAACAGTGTCGACTGAAGTGGAAGGCTTTGAGGGACCAATACGCACGCGAGCACAAGCGCTTGAGGACACTGATGCACATAGATGCCACATCGCGTTGGAAGCACTATGACTCGCTCAGCTTTCTTCAGAAGTACATACAACAGAAGACGCTGTAAGAAAGGCTGATTTCAAACATTTTTATCATAAGCCCAGCCTTGTTTGAAGTAGAAAGTATACTGATAAGTTTTTATCCTTCAGGGAAAGCGATCCGCAACTCAGTATGCTGCTACCCAAAAATGACCCGGTGAGAGAACTGGAGGAGCAGATGGCCCACTCTCACTCACCGCCCACGCAGCAGAGCACCATAGAGTCATCTTCGTCGAGTTCCCAGCTTAACATGCCCACCCTGCCTCATTTGACGGGACCACACAAGGCTGAGCAGCAGCAGCAACAGCAGGATGAGCAGCAGCAGCAGCAGCAGCAGCAACAGCAGCAACAACAGGCCAGTGAACTGTGTGTGGCCACCTACGATGACATGGACATCGAGAATTACATCAACGGGGACGTACCTCATGACGATGATGTGGAAGACGATGAGGATGAGGAGATGGAAGCGACGGCGGAGCAACCTCCTCAGCAGCAGGATCAGCATGTAATGACCTACGATCACGAAGATGGACCCGTGTACATGGCTGTTCCAAGCGTTGGCAGCACCATGTCCAAGCAAGAGCAGCTCAGCGACGGGGCCACCAGCCTGGAAAATCAGCAGCTTCAATCAACTGGCGAGTATCAAAAGATGGAGATACAGACTCCACCCACTTCCAGGTACCTGAATGCTGCCACTACGCCCAGCTCCACTTCCACATCTCGCTACCACTCGGCGCCCATCACGCCCAGCAAGCCCAGCCATATGGAGTTCCCGACCAGCAATGGCCACAACTCCGGAGAGGACGATGAGATAGGAGCGTTCTTTAAGGCAGTGTCCATGAAGATACGCAATGCTCAGCTAGAGCCGGTGGCTTTCACCGAACTGCAAATCGAAATTCTGCGTGTCATTAACGAGGCACTGAGGAACCACTAGCACTGCTGGTGACCTTTGGCTACCTGGAGAGGAGTAGTACGCTTGAGCGGACCATCAACGGTTTCAGGGCGACTCATTCTAGACATTAAGTGTTATTTCAAAGTGTTTTTCTAATTTCTAGCTGAGTTAATATCTTTGTAAATTGCTTTTAAATTTCGGAACTTCTAAAGCGAAAATCAATTGCTTAACCAGCTCGCGGGCGGATCTTAAAATGTTATTTGTACATAGACGAAAATCCAATAATTACGGCAAGAAATAGTGTTTACTAGCTTAGGATGATTCCGGTTCCAGCGGAACCGGAACTAAAATTCAATTAATTATTTAAATACTTGTAACCAAATCGATTGTAACCCATTCGTACAATGTCAAAGAAAAAAGGAAATATATTTTTAAAGCAAATTCCTATAAGCAGTGTGCATTTGTCAGTCGCATCGCATAATAATGGGACAAGAATTTCTTGTTTCTCGCAGTGCATTTCGCATAGAGACCATTCTGTGCCGGATTCAACCCCATGCAGGGCATAGAAATCAATGTATCTGGTAGTTAGAACTGGTAGTTGATGTAGCTCCTCTTGGGCATCCCCTCCCCCCTCGCGAGCCCCTTCTCGACCGGGAATTCCCCGTTCACCCAAGTGCCACCCCCAATCCCGCAGCTCTACGCAAACATTTAGCCAAACGACAAAGCGTAGGAGCAGCTGCCTTCAAGTGGAGCACTTGCCAGTGGCCCATCCCTTGGAGTGGCCCATCCCGCACATAAGAGTGCCTAGCCCCCATGTATCCGTGCTACATAAGCGCGCACACATATGTGCCACTCTGCTCGTGCCACCGAAAGCGGTCTCCCTTTGGCATTGGACAGAAACCGGTTCGCCCGGCGCATCCAATGGGTGGACTGTTCGAGTGAGACAACCGTAGTGCCGCCCGTACATAAGTCGGAAAACGGGGGCGGTTCCCAGTGGGAAGCACTGGGTGTGGCCATCCCCGATGTGTCAGATGGCACCAGCTGCTACCTGCTGCTCCGTCGCTGCTGCTGCTCCTGCTGCTGCTGCTGCAGCCGCTCGGGAAATTTATGTAAAAGTGAAAATTTTTTAATAAACATTTTCATTTTCAGGCGGAAGTTCCGATGACCGGGGCTAATCAGACGTGCCGTACGTCGGACTCGGACGAGGGATCGGGATCGGGATCCGAAAATGGGAAATATTTGCCATGGGCTCCACGCCTGATTGATTCCTTTGCCATGTGGCCATTACCAATTTCCATTGGTTCGGTGGTTCTGGCTTCGACTCGGTTTACTCTGTTTGCGCTCGCAAATTAATTTCCATTCTTTGCTAAATGGTTGACTGCGCGGGCTTTAATTAAAATTATGTGGGTTTGGTTTGTCATCGATTGGGGGACAGGTGGGTTGATTGGAAGGCTCAGCTGTCATACTAGCTTTTTTCTATATATATAATTTTACAAGCATAAGTATGAATCGTTAGTCTGGTTATATTGTGTTCTACGTGCTAAAGTTAATAAGAAGTCATATTTTGGTTTTTCGAAGATTTAGTTGAAATGCAGATCAACGTATTTTTATTAACTTGCATCTATTTGCATATTTATAAATTTATAGGTCACAAGCATTTTGATTTTATAATTTTAAGAGTAAACCACTTGGTTGTTAATTATTCTAATGAGACATTGTTATTAAAGCGTAGAGTAAAATAGTTAGGATCTGTAAGGATATATATATAAAGTATATTATACTATATATACTGTATATATTATATTATTTTATATATAGTATTACATTATATTATATTTTGTATTATTTGATTGCTTATTTTGAATTTGTGTGCCCATTTCTATCGATTTGCCGGGAATATGTAAAAATTTCCTCTAGCTGAGTGAGGGGTATCTGATAGTCGTCTGTAACGTTCCCCCTGATTTTCTATTTGTGCTGCCAGATTATTGCCCAATTTATTATTACTTTCATCTTGCAGCTCATGCCTTATAGGAATACGAATATTATCCATCGATCTAACCATCTTAGCAACTCCTAAAGGCCGTTTTGGGTCCCGAAAGTAAATCCGCAATATTATTTACACCCACTCACCTTCAGCCTGGCACATTACGGAACCTTTTCCTGCAATTTCCAGCACACGGAAACTATTTTCGCGGCTCATTTAACGGGCTCGCCTAGCCGAGGAGTGAAATCATGAAACGCACATAAAAACCCACATTTTTATGGCCTGCGGGCAGCTGGCAAGTATGACACTTTCCAGCCGGAGCTTCAGACGCAGTTAAACCAATTTGCAACTCATTCCATCCTGGGCATCAAGTATATCAAATTTGCCACGATTACTGCGACGCCTCAGCGCATTCACGCCCAAGGAGCAGCGAGCAGGGAAAGGGGAGATGGAAAGGAATACATTCAAGACTCATTTCCTGCCCGAAAAAAGGATGATGAAACTCAAAAAGCTGGAGTCGCCTGCAGCTTTGGGTCAGCAAGATGGCCAGATAGGAGGACAAAATGCTGACAAACTGCTGAGTGAATCTGGATGTGGCTGTGCCTGTGGATGGCGAGGTGGCCCCCACTCCGAGCCGCAAACTGTTATCATAAATAAAGTCAAGCCAAATGTCAGCGAGAGGCCTCATATCATAAAGCAAATGCAAGTGGCGCAGTGAATCGAAATCGAGGCAGCGGCATTCAGTTTGGCCGAAACCATTCACGATTTATTGTCCGATATGCGATGCACTTTCCCGTCCAAGTGCCCAGCTCCAGCTCCAGCTCCAACTCCAGCTCCTTTTGGCCGTCCTGTCTCTCTCTCTTTTAAACTGAATTGTTTCCGGGAACCGCAGCAGCCAGCAGCCTGCAACCAGCAACAACAATGGAGCAGCCAAGCGCTGAAAAGCTTGTAAAACATTTGTAGCAACTGCGACTCGAGTCGCGAGTTCCCGGCAGCCGGAGTGCCGAGTGGCCAGTGGACGTGCCACTGGCGGCTACTGTTGACCACGTTCAACCCGCCGCCGAAATGTTTTATTCATAAAGCTTAGCGACAAGATCGTCGCCCGTTCGATGTTGCTGCTGCTGCTGCGGGGTTGCTGCGGCATGAGGATGCTGCTGCTGCTGGTGTGGATCTGGGATGGGTAAAAAACCTATGCTAATTCCACATGCAACTTATCAGCCGACGCGCATCTTGTCAAGGAGCTTTTGTGTTTGGGCTGTTAGAAATGGCCTCGAAATACAGCTCCAACTGCTGCTCCAACTCCAACTCCAGCTCCAGCTCCAGCTCCATCTCCATAGCCATATCCATCTCCGACTACGAGGGGTGCTAATCGCCAAATTTACAACTTGATGCAAAACTTTGCCCCGCAAATGGGCCAGAAAACAAAACGACCGCACTGCCAAAAGTGGGTGGGGCAGCTGGATTGAATGGGTGGCTCGGACTCGAATTCAGACTCGGGTTCGCCTGGGCGCACTATAAAAATGAAGTGAAGGGGTGGGCAGTGGGATGCCGAGCCGGGAAGTGTCCACACTTTCACTCGCCCGCAAGGCAGCAGCGGAAAATCTAGCATTTGAAAAATGTACTTTTTTCACTCCTCGGGAAGGGGTAAAAAGGATAACGGAAGGTGGGAGGAACTGGTGGCACAGTGGTACGCGGGCATAATGCAATGAGTTCAAAAACATCCAATTATGGTGTATTTATGCAAGACTGATCTACTATCGTAGTTGTGTATTTTTAACAATACTTTCTCAGTCAGTACTACCTTGCTTTAGTTATTAATTAATTAACAATTATTAAAGTTAATCAAGTGTTTAAAAGTGTACATTAAGCATTAATATACGTTATTATTTATTATTATATTATTATTATTATTTTTTAATTATCAAAGTTAATCAAGTGATTAAAATTCTACATTTGGCATTTAACAAATTTAACATATCTCAAGTACTACCTTGCTTCAGTTATTAATTAATTATTAATTTTTAAAGTTAATCAAGTGATTAAAATTGTACATTAGGCATTTAACAAATTTAACATTTCTCAGTACTACCTTGCTTTAGTTATTAATTAGTTAACAATTATTAAAGTTAATCAAGTGATTAAAACTGTACATTAAGCATTTAACAAAAATTTTATTAGGATGCATTTGAATTCATGGCATTAAGATCGGTTCCAAAGACTTGCAGTGCGTTCCACTGTGCCACGCTCCATTTGACTTGTTTGGGGCACGTTTGTTCCAGAGTCCTGGCCACATAGTGTTAGTTACAAGACACATAACACTTTGTTATGTGCGCTTGACAAAGTTGGGCGGCGAGACAAACGGCGGGAAAAGTGCTTAGTGCCTTGGTTTAAAGCGGATCGCATCCTTTTTTCCCCGGGAAAACAGATAAAACGAAAACGCACCCGAGTTCCGTGGGGTGGAAAAGTGTGGACGTACCTAGCGAATTGGGTGCTAATGTGGGCCAAACACAACTTGCCAGTGCCCAACTGGGATTGTATTTTATTTTTAAATTTTCTAGATCTGCACATGCTGATAGCGCGCCAGCGGATGGAACAAATAAATCTCAGACAAAGGAAGCGGATAACGGATATTTGCGGAATTTGCAGACACGTGTGTGGGGAGCGGAAGGCATTTGGAAGCCGTTTGGCGGGGTGACTATGCCGCAGGACAGCCCAAAGCCCACATGTCCTGGGGATGGGGCAGGGGTAGCTGGAGCTGGAGCTGGAGGCGAGCTGCGAAAGTGCCAAAATGCCAGGCGCGACAAGCTGCGACACCTGGAAACCTGCACCCAGCAACCTGAAAGCAGCCAGGCACGCATCGGGCAATCATCGCCACATCCCGAAGCGGGCACCCATGGCCATGATCCATGATCCACTCGCGGCAGACGCACAAAAACCATCAGCGGCGGCTCTGGCGAAATGTCAACTTTATTAAAAGAAATTATAAATTGGTATGCCAGTCCCGAGTCCCAAGTTTCGAGTCCCAAGTCCCGAGTCCCAAGTCCCGAGTCCCAGTGACCACTTCACAGACACCGCGCGCAAAATTCCAGGCTCACACATCATTAAACGAGCAAAAAGCGAGGATCCAAGCCATCCAGCCAGTTCCCGGAGTTTCGGACCAAGTGTCGCCGCCTTTGTCCAGCCCATTACAATTACTGACAAAAAGCATCAAGGTAGCCATAAAAACAAACTACTCGCGTGGGGCGGTCGTACTAGTTCCCAACTTGGAGTACTTATAAGTGAAATGATCCATAAATCCAGCTTGCATACAATGTGCGCCCAAAATCCGGCTGATTCACTATAAGTTACATGTTATGTGTACAGATGGTAACTAGCAACTTCAAGAGATTCGGAACTGCATGCCTTGAGCCTTTGAGCCTGGTCGGGAACTCCACACTCCACCCTCTGACCCCAAAAGTGTCCA